TAGCTGTCCCCCAAACCTCTACAGTAAGAACTGACCAAACAAAGACTGCTGATTGCTCAGTTCTCAGTGAACAGACAGACGGTGACTGTCAGTCATTGGTTCTCTGCACTGCCCCTCTAGTGCTCACTGGAGCACTGTGCTGTGGAGGGGGTGGAAGCGACTTGCTCAGGCTTTCAGCTATATGCTGAGAGGCTGAGCCAGTTGGCGGTCAGGAATTTGGGTGGAGTCTGATATTATTGTCAGGTTCCCTGCAGAGCCTGGACTGGCTCTGTGACATCAGTTGTCAGCATAGTTTAGCCCATGTCGGCTGAATCTGGGTCACAGGAGAGCACAAGTAAGTGCACCCCTGTGACCCACAGAAGTATGGCTAAAAGAGCTTTAGCTATACTTCTCCTTTAAGCATGTAAAAACAGCAACCTCCCAGCACTATCTATGGGTGCAGAATTACTAGAGCCCCAACAGTAAAGACAAAGGTAAAACTCTCCATTAATTAATTCAAGCATAAATTGATAAAATTGTGGCTGAGGATAGACATTTATTTTATATTATTCACCTGAATTTCTGTGTATGCATGTGCTGAACACACATAGGGTTGATTTACTAAAGATGGAGATTGCAAAATCTGGTGCAGCTGTACATGGTAGCCAATCAGCTTCTAACTTCAGCTTGTTCAATTAAGCTTTGACAAAAAACTTGGAAGCTGATTGGTTTCTATGCAGAGTTGCACCAGATTTTGCACTCTCAGTTTTAGTAAACCAAGCCAATAGAATTTTTAATCGCTAGAAGAAGTAGAAGTTTCCCTGAATCAAAGATCACTTAAAGGCCTGCTAATAATCCAGGGACAGTGCATAGAATTCTTTTATTTGTTAAAAGGGAACCTTTCAAATGTGAGTTATTTTTTGCTGGTGCTGTGACAGCATGCTGAGAATGTTTAAGTGCCCAAACAACCTCCAGATAAATTGACATCGCTGTAGCACCGAGGTGCAGACATGGTTAAAAGCATGCTGCTTTATTTATATGCCTATCCACATTATAAAATGTTCCTTGCTATATTTTTGACCCACTAATGCTAGAGGGCCAAGCATACCCAAACGCACACAAACTGTTCATAATAATTACAGGAAGAAAATGTATTTTGCTTGTAGCTTTAAACAGGTCAAGCTAAATCAGCCCACTCAGTGGCATGTAATTCCAAAAGCATTTATACACTGACATTTCTAAGTTTACAAAACACAGCATATTTCTTCTCTGGCATTTTTGTGTCCCTACATACTACAAAATGCCCGATTGTCAGAATTTTGAAAATAAAGTGTTGGCTCCCATTAAATAGCTAGTATGCAGGGGTAAAGGAGGGGGTTATTTGCCAGACAGAATGGTAACTACAAGGCACGCCACTGTATCTCTATTTAAAACTATGTTGTTCTAAAACTGAAGAGTTTTACACACTGAGACAGCAAATGTGTTTGAACACATATCAACCATTCAACATCTCTGCTGAGAACCATTTGCCCTTTTTCCCTAAGTGAACACCCATGCCTCTAACAGTCATACATATATACAGGAGCCCCCCACTACCGCCATCAAAAAATAAAAAAAAGGGACTCGTGATGCCATTCTTTCTTTCAAGCATGCCAGAGATAAAGTGGTTCAAGCATTAAAAAATGAATGTTCCTAAGATGTAACTGAGGTTTACCGCTCTACAAAAGCAGTATTAAGTCATGGAGCGAGTGCTGCTCTCGCACTTTCTTCTTTATTCATTCACATTTCTGACCTAGTTGTACTGCTTTTTTGACAATAGAAAAAAGTAAATGGTTTTGACTTCATATGGTGTCTGGTACCAGTGTATGAATGAGAAAACTGGCTGAATAGAAGTATACAGTGGGGTTGATTTACTAAAACCGGAGAGTACAAAATCTGGTGCAGCTCTGCATAGAAACCAATCAGCTTCCAGGTTTTCTTTTGTCAAAGCTTAATTGAAAAAGCAGAAGTTAAAAAGCTGATTGGCTACCATGCACAGCTTCACCAAATTTTGCACTCTCCAGTTTTAGTAAATCAACCCCACTGTTTGGCAGGCAATACAGTTCAGAAACTTGAATTTCAGCTGTACATTTAGCAGTTTGCCTACATTAAAGTATATGTAAACCATCCCCTTTTAAAACAACCCATTATAAATACCTTTTTTACCCCTTTTTTTTATAAGTGATCATATACCCTCTGTTCTCTGCATAAGGATCTTAGAGAGCTGGGGGAAGAAGTAACAGCATACCGATCTTCCCAGTGAATGGCTGTCGGGGGGGGGGGGGGGGCATGTAAGGACAGGTCTGATCATTGGAGAAGAGCAGGCTGATTTCTCACCTAGAGAACTGACCGCGCTGTGCTCTCATGCCTAGTGTAGCCATACAAAGAGAACAGGATACTTTTTCATTTATATGGTAGAGCAGGCACATATCAGGAATATGAAATGTTGGGTTTACATATTCTTTAACACTTCAAAAAGATATAGCATATTTAAAGTGGAACTGACGTTCTGCTGTAAGAAACAGCAAGCAGGCAGGTTTTTATTTCAGAAGAGACATGTACTGCCTGTTTTGCAATAAAATGCAAACCAAGAAGCACCTCATCCTGCAATCCACTTGAGGATGAGATCTTCACTCAGAGAATTCAAGGAAAGCCAGGCACAATTCATAAAATGTCACAAATTACTGAACTTGAAGTGTATAAAAAGTTGCATCAACAACCACATACCGCATCAACAAATCCACAAAGTTGCATGCATGGAAATCCCAAACCCACAGGGTGGAAGGCACCCATGTCCGGTGTGTCAAGGATGTACAGAGGGATCACTGGATGGCCAGAGTAATGGACATCAGTGACACCAGCCTCCAGGGATTCCAATCCTTGGTCTGCCACGACCGGAAGTGATGTCAACGGACGGGCGGAAGTGAAGCAGGATAAGGGCAGAAGTGATTCAAGGAAGGTGCCATGGTAAGGGCACCGGTTGGTGATGTACTGCCACTCTGTACAGGACTGGAAATACTTCAGGCTGGGACCAGACCATGAGTCGACCCTCAGTGGTGGATGGGCGGCATGTGGAGCGGACATCACTTCCGGACGCAGCAGGCAGAGGATTGGATTTCCCCGGAGGCTGGTGTCTATAGGCAAAACCTCTCTTTTTGAATTTGGATAGAGTGGGTAAGGGTTGTTAGATTTTTATTGCTGCCTGTGTCCCCACTGAGACAATTTGTCTTTTTATTTGTACTGGTGACCATTGTCATCGAAGGTGAGGGGAATTCTAAATTTTACAATTGTCCACAGAACAAGAAGTAAAGGGAAATCTTCCAATGAGACAACTGTCTAAGATGAGAATTCCCTTCACTAGGGGAGATTTCCTCTAACCTCCTATTGTGTCTCTAGAATAGGAAGAAAAGACAAATTGGGGTTTTAACCCCTTCCTACTCCATCCAAAACAAAACAAAAAAATGTGGCTATATATACCCTGTAGATTACATTTTAATGGTTCCTTGGGTGATCTAGCGTCAAGAGATGTCCTGCTCCTCCTACTGCTGGTAAAATGACTTGTAAACTAAAGAAAACCCAGTAGAGAACAAGAAAATATTTTTATTGTATGATATTGGCTAAAAATCTATTACTTTTGGGTCTGTTCACTCCCTAGGAACCCAAAGCAGCATCAACTGTACAAAGTGTGGCAGTTAAATTGCAGCTGAACCCTTATATTTAAAATATTCCGTGTTGTATAAAGCAAGAATATAAACTGCCCTTGAAGAAGGTTAAAAGCTGATTTACAGCAAGTGTATACCTTACAGTAATGAGTATGTTATCTTTACCTTGCTTGACATTTGCTTTTCAACACATTTATGTAGTTTTATTGAATATTCTGATGGTTCTTGTATAGACAATTTAAGACCCATTGAGACCAACCATATGTTACATTTCTGGCTTTTTATTTGTGGTAGGTGTAACGTACATTTATCATGGTTTGGAAGTGACGTGATTAACAGCAGCAACAAAAGTATTCTATTATAAATAATATATGGAAAAACAGTTTTACGCAGAGTACATTCAGAAATGACAAGTGGCTGAACAGAAATACCAACACCTACAAACAGCATATGAAAGCTATTTATACAGACAATTTTTACATGCTTATATTAAATTGTATGTCTAGCCAAAGCATTTTTTTTTTAGTTTTGGGAATGGGATTAGAACTACTGCATAAAAGTTACTGCTATCCTGGGCTCCATTAGAGAAATCTCTCCTGTTAGTATTTTATTGCTGCATCTCTGTTGCAGATTTTTAGGGCAAATCCCTCTAACAGTGCCCCAGATAGCCGGAAAAACTTAACAGGGCTTCTGATTCTTCCTTTTTTCCAAAACATATTGGCTCACTCACACCAAGCTGGTCAGTCACAGTGCATTAATGTGTAATTTAGGCTGTCTGTTAATTTAAATGGGTAGCGAATGCACAACAATGGATCAGAAATTAGACATGCACCATTTTTTAGCAACACATTGCTTTGCTTAAACACACTGCTCACTTAAACACACTAATGCACACAAAACACGGGAATGGGACCTAAGAAGCAAGTTTTGGCTGGGCATACCCTTTTAAATTTGCATTCACATGCGTGATGGATATAAAGTGGTGCCTATGTTCTGCACACTCCATTCAGGCCAAGTTCTTTTCACACCCGAGGCGGGGGTCACTATGGAAATTGAATGTGATAGCCTGGTTCCAATGCTTAACCTTTCTTCACAGCCAGTTAACAGATGTTTGCAGGGAAATTGTTGAGATTGATAAATGAAATACAGTGGTGGTTTCATTAAATTCAAAGATGGTACTGTGTACCCTCCTAGCTATAGCTTGGGAAGATAACATTTGGTCTAGTATTCACATGCTGTATTTACCATATTTGTTATTTAATTTCTTTATTCCCTTATGAAATCACATGGAAACAGTGCTAAATAAGAACAGGAACCTACCTTGTTTCCTCCAGTGACAAACTGCTTACAGTTAGATTTTCCAAATTGAGGATGAACAGCAACAATCTAAAGATAAAATATGTTGGGAAAATTATAAACAAAAAAGCTAAAGCAGCACAAAAAATGCTTTGCTATGTTCTATACTACCAGATTTGAACCACTGTTAACAAAACACATTTTCAAACAAGTTTTTTTGTAAAAGTAAACAATTCCTTACTTTTGAACAAAGTGGTGAGTGGGTACAAATCTCTGTCAGGTTTTTAATTTTGTCTACATCCCCAACAGAGAGATTCACCCTCTCCATTTGTCCTGATCACCACTGAAAGTGAGGAAAAATCCAGAATGTTGAGTTTTAACCAGAACAGGAACAGAATGGAATTTTTTCAATAGGGACACTTGGCCCAAGGACAACTGTCTAACTAGGGGTTTCCCTAACTTTGGAGAGATTTCCTTTCACTTTCTGCTGTGTATACAGGACAAGAAATGAAGGGGAATGTATTAAATTAGGACACGGCTAAAAACCTGTCAGGGGAAAGGGGCAACACACCTGAACACAGAGAAACAAGGTGCATGCACCATTTCAGCAACCAAGTGCACCACAAGCATGACAGAGCATGTGTGCTACAGTGCAGATGTAGTAAGGTGCCATTCAATGAGGATATCTGTTCAGGTGACAACTATATCCTGTTTTAGAGATCTCCTCTTACTTTCTGCTAAATCTCTGGGGCAGAAAGTGAAGGAACACCTCCCTGACAGGACACAGACAGCAAAAAAAAAAAAAAAAGCCCAAAAAACTAATGGGGCCTAAGGGCTTGTGCACATAGGTTTGTTTACCTGCATTAGAAACACAAATGAAATGCAGGATAGTAGATTCCCATTTACCTCAAATGGTACAGATGGTGACAGTTCTAAATGCTGCTTTTGACTTGCATTGTGTTGTTGTGTTTATTTCTGAATGTCCTGTAATAGATGTGTTTGCAGTTCAGGCAAAGCAAGTCAAAAGCAGCCTTTGGCATTTGAAAGCATGCACTGTGCTACACAGATATCGAAAATCCAGCATTTGACAGAAAAGCCCATGTATACAAGACCTTAACTATTCCCTATGCCAGCCTTTCTCAACCTTTTTACCCCAGAACTCCCAAAGTAACTTTAAGATACTTATATCCTTATTAAACCCAATCCACTGGGGTCAATTGGACAAATGCCCTTTACATTGGTGGTCAGTAAGAAGAATGAGACACTTACAGTGGTGCTCAGAATGCCACCCTTACAGACAGCTAAAAAGATCATTGGTGTCACACTGCTGGCTCTGCCAAGTGACATTGTCCCTGGAGCAAGGCAGATACCATCAAATGGAAGTGGAATCAGCCACAGCTCAAGGAGCACCAAGCAACTTTTGGAGAACCCTGGATGAGATTGGCTGCCCTACGCTAAGCTGCAAAAAAAAAACAAAAGCTTTGTTTTACATACACTTTCATTTTTCAGTTCTGAATGCATTTTGTAAGAGAACTATAGCTGTTAACGTTAAAGATATTAAAGTGGTTCTAAATTAAGGCTTAATTTGATGTATTCTATGCATGAAAGTACAAAACCTGTGTGCAGCGGCCCCCCCAGCCTCCCCTAATCCTTACTTGAGCCCCCACTGATCCAGCGACGTTCTCAACAGTGTCTGCTGTCTGGGGACTCCTAATCCCCATTGGCTAAGACAGCAGCGGGAGCCCATTGGCTCCCTTTGCTGTCAATCACAGCCAGAGAGCCAATGAGGAGAGAGCAGGGGGAGGGTGGTCGAGGAACAGTCTTATGGAGCAATGGCTCGGGGACAAGCACACAGCAGTGCCCCCAGGACAAGCAGGAGCCAGGAGCGCCCATGGAGACCTGAAAAGAAAAGGATAGGGGCTGCTCTGTGCAAAATCACTGCGGAGAGCAGGTAAGTATAGACACATTTGTTATTTTTAAAAAAATAAAAACAAAGGTTTAGTGTCACTTTAAGACACACAACATCTTTGCATACAAATTTGATAGAAATAAACAACAATCAAGCTGATGGAAAATCTCTGCAGAAACCTTCAGTGAAATAAAAGGCTACAGAGCATATGAGACATTTTTGATCAGCAGCCTATACGTTTTTCCATAAAAAAAAAAAAAAAGTTCATGTCAGCCAAGTCTTTCTATTTTTTTTTAGTTTTGCATTGAGTGAGGAAAGGTCCCAAAAGACAGTCATTGGAGAATAAGTCCAACAGCAAAACAGCAGAAATTTGTTTTTGTTGCAGAGTAGAAGAAGCTAGAACCCCTGTCTATGTTGTCTATGTTCCTGCTACAGATTTTCCTTCACTTCCTGTCTGGTGAAACTACTGAGACAACAAATAAGGGCAATTCTCTAACAGTGCCACACATAGAATTAAACCCGACAAGGCTCCTAAACCTTCTTCACTCTATCCAAAACTAAAAAAAAAACAACTTTTGGATAGACATACAGTACACTTTATTATGTAGTACATTCTTATAATAATGATAATAAAAAGTATTAACTAATCATCACGTGGAAGCTAGAGTGATTGGTAAAGCTACGGCATGTTCTGTTTGTGTTGACCACTACACAAATGGCTGCATTTTGAATGCTTCTGTGGATGCAAACAATGATATTATAACAGGTGTCTCTTCAGATTGAGGTACTGTTAAGAAATGCACAGCTCTATTCACCAACTCTCAGCAATAGAAAAAGATATCAAAACAGCTACAATCATTATCGAGCAATGCTGTATTTATGGAACAGCATTATGTTTTATTGGAAATTTAAGAGCTAGAAATAAAGCAGAAAGAGCAGTACAATAACTAATGATTTTCTCTGATTATATCAGCTTGTAGTTTTACATGCAGGGGATATTTCCATCATTTTCAATCAAAGACTAATGTACTTGAAAGTTTTTTCTACAAATGATATACAAACTATTGAACAGCATTTATGGAATTACATCTAACTGACATCAGCAAAGAACTATGAATTGCCTTGTTTTAAAACCTCTTAATGTTATACCTCCTTGCATAAAGGGAACATAAAAGAAGATATAAATAGAGCATGATTCAATGTTCAACTCTATTAACTGTGGCACTAGCTGTCATCTAGCAACATATGGTCCCCTGATAATCTACAGATTGCTACCAGTCTGAAGCTGCCTAGATAGGCACAAATCAAAATAATTTATAAAAATATATTCTAAAGTTTTGAAAATTGTGTTAAATGTTCTAAATTGCTCTGAAACAATTGTTACCATAGCCTTTTTTTTTTCTACCGGAATAAAAATTAAAATTTTTCTAAAATGATAGCTCCGTCATTTAAGTTGGTTGTTTCATATATTTTTTAAAGGCATTGTACCATTTCAAATGTTTTTGTTCTTTTAGCTAGATATTAGTATAGTTATATTCCCAGTGTCATTTTTTTTTGCCTTACCTTGTAATGCTGGACTTACATGTTTTGGCTGCAGTGTAGTGTCATAACTAATCAATATCTATGTCTTCATTCACCAAGCTTGTCCCTATTCACTAAAGGAACAGGAAACTTCTTGTCACATCACAGCCAATCTGTGCCTTGCCATTTCCTCTGTGTTGCATCACAAATATAGAAGTGCTAATGTGATGAAAACACTTCTTCCCTTTACTGCTCTGCCTGCCTCAAAATCTAATTACTGTGCAGCATTTGCCAGCAGAACACTAGACTGAGACACCCAGGAATTGTGGGATATGTACACTGCGTGCACAATTATTAGGCAACTTGTATTTTTGAGGATTCATTTAATTATTGAACAACTGCAGTGATTTCACTCAATCCAAAATGTTAATAAACCTCAAACCTGAATATTTAAGTAAAAGTGAGGTTTTTGGCTTTCTTAGAAGCACATCTATGTGTGCACAGTTTATTGGGCAACTATTTGTGTAAATAATTATTACGCAACTAAATAAAAAATGAAATTAATGAAATGTTTATTTTCATCTGTTAAAACGAGAACTTTAAACAAACAACTCAAAAAAATAAAAAATAAAAATCAGTGACCAATATAGCCACCCTTCTTTTCAATCACAGCCATAAGCCTTCCTTTCATGGATTCTGTCAGTTTCTTGGTCTGTTGACAATCAACTTTTTGTGCAGCAGCAACCACGGCCTCCCAAACACTGTTCAGAGAGGTGTACAGGTTTCCTTTACTGTAAATCTACAGCTTAACCACTAGCCTACTGGGCACTTATACCCCCTTCCTGCCCAGGCCAATTTCCATCTCTCAGCGCTGTCACACTTTGAATGACAATTGCGCGGTCATGCAACACTGTACCCATATGAAATTTTTATCATTTTTTTTTGTGACAGATAGAGCTTTATTTTGGTGGTATTTAATTACCTTTTTTATTTTTTCTTAAACCAAAAACCACAGAAAAAAAATTTTGAAAACAAAAAACGTTTCTTCTTCTTAGTTTTTGTTATAAAATTTTGTAAATAAGTGATTTTTCTCCTTCGCTGATGTGCGCTAATGAGGCTGTAGTGTTGGCCACTGATAAGATGCACTGATGGACACTGATAGGTGGCACTGATGAGGAGGCACTGGTAGGTGGCACTGATGGGCACTGAAAGGCAGCACTGATATATGGCACTGATAGGCGGCACTGACTGGCACTGTTAGTGGCACTAACTGGCACTGATAGGCAGCACTGATGCGCACTGATAGGTGGCACTGATAGGCAGCCCTGATGATCAGTGTACCTGTCCCCTCCGTTGAATGCCGATTACCAGCTCTCCTCTCCTCTCGAGCTGTCAGCATGACAGCTCGAGAGGAGAGAAATGCCGATAAGCAGCATTTCCCTGTTTACATGTGATCAGCTGTGATTGGACACAGCTGATCACATGACCGAGCCGACATCTTCAGCTCTTTCCGTGGATCGGTGATCCGCTGTATCTGAAGGACACAGTGCACCGCCCGATCGCCGCACACTCCCTGAGCCGCACATACGCGGTGAGAATAGAAGGACCTCATATGACGTCCTATCAGAACGAGAGAACCACCTTGCGCCCGTCATTGGACTATATGGCGGGCAGGAGGTGGTTAAAGTGGTAGTAAAGTCTATTTTTTAACTTGTATGCCTATAATAAGGCATACCTGTAGGTACTGTAAATATCTCCTAAAAGTGGACTGGTTAGGAGATATTCACCTGTGTAGATCACGAGCGTGTGCACTCTGAAGGAACGGCACACCCCTGCCATTCCTTCAGAGCTGTATGTCGTAAAAAGTGACTCCTGCGCACATGCATGGGAGTGATGTCATCACGGCTTGGCCATTCAAGCCGCTGAAGTCTGGGAACCCAGAAGAAGGACCGAGTGAAGATGAAAGCCCTGTTAGCAGTGACAGCGCATTGCTGGAGGGCTTAATTTTTAAAGTGAGTTTGCGATGTGCTAAAAAATGTGCTAGTATGCGATGGAGCATGGCTAGCCATGCGATGGAGCATTGGCCTGCGTAAATATCATGGTCTTCTTGAAAAAAAACGCAGATGTTTCTTGCACTGCTTGAAGAAAGTGTCTTCTAAAAACTAGCAGTAGGTTTGGGAGTTGATTTTGAGTCCATCTTCAACCCAAAAAGGTCCAAGTAGCTCATCTTTAATAGCACCAGCCCATACCAGTACCCTACCTCCACCCTGCTGGCATCTGAGTCAAAGTAGGACTCTGTGCCCATTACTGATCTAGCCATGGTCCCATCCATCTGGTCTGTCTCATCTCATCAGTCCATAAACCCTTTGGGTTCCTGGTAGCTTCACGTTTGATTCATCTCAAATTTTTTGCAGTTTATTTTTTTCTCAACGTGTTTCTTGCGACCCTGTTGACTATTTCCAAAAAAGGTTTGATGGTTCTGTGACCATGCCCCAATATCTTAGCAATTTCAAGAGTGCTGCATCCCTCTGAAAGTTTTTACAATTTTTGACTTTCCAGACTCAGTTAAATCTAATTTTTTTTGCCCATTTTGCCTGAGGAAAAGAAGCTACCTAATAAGTATGCACACTTTGATATATGGTGTTGATCTCCTTAGGCCACACACTCCCTAATTACACAAATACACATCGCCTGATATGGTTAAATCCAATAAGCATTCAAGTTTATACAGCTCGGAACTGGACAATATGCATAAAAATGATGGTTGCAAAATACTCATAATAATTGTGCACACAGTGTAGTTTCTCCACAAGAAGCATCAGTTCTTGCACTACATATGAAGGTTATGCATTAACCTGCACAGTGTCTCATGTTTGAATACAGACGCTGTTGACAAAGGAATGTAAAGATTTACTCTAATATAGGCTGTGTGTACAAGGCAACAAATGACACCATGAAACTACATGAGCAATGCACATCCTTCGCAAGTGAAAAACACAAGGTGCAGGTAGGAAGGTTTAAAGTGCTCATAAGTTTGTGTTTGTAATTTAAATACTTGGAGATGTCCTTTCTTTACTGTTCCCATTGGACATATTGTACATACATTGGGGGAGATTTACTAAAACTGGAGAGTGAAAATTCTGGTGCAGCTCTGCATAGAAAGCAAATCAGCTTCCAGATTTTATTGTCAAAATGTAATTGAACAAGCTGAAATTAAAAGCTGATTGGCTAACAGGTACAGTTGCACCAGATTCTGAGTGCTCCAATTTTAGTAAATCAACCCCAATATGTGTAGGTTACCATACAGCCCTTCTGTGTCCCTGCAGTACAAGTCTAGGATGACAGGAGAAACCAGATCGAATACTCTCCCTGCCTATGTTTTACAGACAGGCACAGCTTTTATCAGTGTGCCCCCACTTTTTTTGCATCTCCAATATGCCCCCCCCCCCCCCCAAGTCTTCTCCTGTTAGTGTAGGTACAAGCATGATCCAAGTATGCACCCACCTGACAAAATCACAGGGTTACAGCATAAATGTCCAATTTAGGCATTTGTATCTGTGCCTAAAATACAAAAGACAGGTAATATCACTTTAATCAACAGACTGGTCGTGTGGATTTTAGAGGTCATACCAGCACTCACCTTTATTGGACAGTCAAAAATTTCATGTAATCCTTCTCTTGAATACAGCCCAAATACTTGCACCTATAAGCAAGGATAAAACATTGGTATTTATTGTACATAACAGGTATATAGTACTATAATTTTCTTCAGCTTACCAAAAAGAAATATAAATGGGGTTCAGATATGTGTATTTGACAGCAATCTCTCATTATTGGTGCCTAGTTAAATAAGTTTGTAGTGCATCTTGAAACTAAACAGATTTTAATAATTTAAACAAGAACTTCATTCAGTTCAAATGATAATCTCTATTTAAAGACTCATTTTAGCTTCCTTATTGAGTAAATATTTTGTTTTCTAATGCCGGACATCCTAACAGAGTAAGATATCATGTCCATTTTGAAAAATAGTTTAGCAAACTCCTCATATATTTAAACTGTATAATCCCTCCTACAAACTTGGGGAAACTTCCCAAAAAATGTGTCCTCTAAACCCTGTTCACTTTTATAAAGCTATCCTCCAAACCTCCATAGCTTGGATCAACTGTCGTACAATTACCAGTCACTTGCTATTAAAATCTAACAGTCCTCCTACTCATTATTGTGAGATAGTATGTAAATTTGCCCCATAACCAACCATTCTTCTAGAAAAATATCACTTGTCTCCCAAACCTTATTCTGTGTTTCAGGTATTGGAATTACAGTTAACTTCTGAAGGGATAGGAGGAGAAGGAGGATACATCCACTTTTATATGTAAACTCTGGCTTTGGCTACTAAGCCCTTTAAACAACAGGGGCTAAAGCAAGCCTGGAAAACACTAAAACATTTGAGGGATTGGCTTGATGGCAGCATATAGAAATAAATAATACAAAATGGTCAATATTTAATTTTCACCAGATGAAAAAAAAAAAAAAAAACATTTTTATTCTTATTTTTTTTTAGCTTCCACCTTAATAAATAAAGAAATCACATAGAAAACATGAATAATACTTGACCCTGATGGCTTAGTTTTATTTCCCAGTGTGATACTTGAGTAAGCCTCATGCCTGTGATACCCAACCTCACATTGACAACTGAATATTATTGTTGACTCTCGCACTTACTTGAGATCTACACTGCAATCTATGTAGTTCAGTTGAGCAAGTTGTTGAGTGCCAAAACAATTTAGTGGTACTGTCCTTCAACAAAAGCACTTCAAGGAAAACTGGCAGCACACAAAATGCTGAATCAGCAAAATCAGTTTATTCACATGTTGAGTATGACACACTGTAGTTATACGTGTATTCAAACTCAACATTTTATGCCCCTCATCTCCATCTTGATAAAAGGTAACCTTTAGTGGCCTGATGGTTAAATAGTTTTTTTGGAGACAAAATTCTAGGAGACCAAAAGAGGAAAACTGAAAACTAGCTTTCAATTGCTATGAAGAAGGACTGAGGTTTGGAAACAGACTGACAGTGTTTTGCAGCAAGCTGCTGGAGGTTTGGAGGAGAGATGAGTAGCATGCTGGGATATGCACTAAAACAGATGTCATATAAGTGTCTGTGCTTCCACGTCCATATGTCAGGATGATGAGAAGTTCAGAGCAGTGAAACAATCAAAAGAGTAGAGCTCCTAGGTTTTGTGAAATTTGGCATGGTCATTATCGCTACTAGAAAAAAAAACATGTCTGCAAATATCTGACCTCATAAAAACTGTAGTTAAGTATTGCAAAAATAATTATTACATTACTCATCACATTAACATTGTAAAATGATGTTATCTGCAAGAGGTACATTACTTGATGGAGATACCCGTATTTTCCTAAAGTTATCCTTTAAATATCCAAAATGTCTTATACTCACTTGTGCACAATTCTGGTAATTCGTACTATGAATTCATATGAAAAAAAAAAATAATTAAATGCATTTATAAATGTAGGTAGCGCAAGTACGTTATATACAAGCCTCTTGTAATTCCCTGTATAAAAGACTAAGAGATGGAGGAGCATGTGCTGAGACAAGGAGAAAGTTGACTTCATCTGTCTGCTCCAGTTCCTTCACTGTCATCTAGATGATGAAATAGTATTGGTTAAAGCAGTGTTTCTCAACCTTTTTTTCATTCAAGTCACCCTTTAAAATTCGGCACAATATCGAGGCACCCTTTAAAATTCTGCACAATCTTGAGGCACCCATTACAAATTGTAAAAAACTAAACAAATATTTTTACATAATGCAACAGCATCTGCACATATAGGACACCCAACATTAGAGGTGATATATTCTTCCAAAGCAAATACCCCTTTGCACACTGACTAGTATTCCATTGTTTCTCTTCTCCCTCAGTTTCTCTCTCTCACTCAGCTAGTATGACTCCAGTGCTTATGGTAAGGGGGAGAGAAGGGGACAGCAAGGATGCTGTGCAGGTGCCCTATGTCCTTCTTATCGACTGATGACATCATTGGTTGTTATGTTGCCAGTGGCTAGAAAGTTGTAATGGTGCACAATGAAACCTGTGGTTTTGTGCAACTAAAAGGCAAGCTTGATCCACTTGCTGGCTTGTAACACAGAAGGACAATTTGGGGTTTATTTACTACAGCTGGAGAGTCCAAAATCAGACTCCCTTCTGCATGAAACCAATCAGCTGTCTAACCTCAGCTTGTTCAATGAAGCTTTGGCAATGAAACCTGGAAGCTGATTGGTTTTTATGCAGAAAGGAGTCTGATTTTGGACTCTCCAGCTTTAGTAAATAAACCCCTTTCTGTCTGTCTGGCATTTTGTCAAGGCACCCCTGGGCACCCTGGATGAAAAAAGCAGGGTTAAAGTACGTGTAAACCTTAAAGTGTTTCTAAAGGCTTAAGGTTTTTATTTTATTAGAAGGGAAATCTTCACAATTGGACACATATGGTAAAAATCCTCCCATACTCCATCCAAAATGAAAAAACATTTTGAATTAAGTTCTACTTTAAGCTTTTTGGCCACAATAAGCACTTACACATATCCCTGCTGACATCAGTGCATCTTTTAGTGCCTAGATGGAGCTAATTATAATTCTAATTGTATTATATCACAGCTAGGTAATTAACCTGGTACACCGTGGGCCTATGACTAGACATTTCAAACACAAATGTGATAATCCAGTGTTCTGGGTGATACTCTTTCTTTTTGTCTTATTGATTATGATCATATTCTGACCAGCACTGATCATAACCTGGCTTGGTAGGTCTCTGCAACTATAATCCGACCTCCTTTAGACACCTAAACAAGTTCACATTCTGAACTACAATATACAGTGGGGCAAAAAAGTATTTAGTCAGCCACCAATTGTGCAAGTTCTCCCACTTAAAAAGATGAGAGAGGCCTGTAATTGGCATCATAGGTAGACCTCAACTATGAGAGACAAAATGAGAAAAAAAATCCAGACAATCACATTGGCTGATTTGGAAAGAATTTATTTGCAAATTATGGTGGAAAATAAGTATTTGGTCAATATCAAAAGTTCATCTCAATACTTTGTTATATATCCTTTGTTGGCAATGACAGAGGTCAAACGTTTCCTGTAAGTCTTCACAAGGTTGGCACACACGGTTGCTGGTATGTTGGCCCATTCCTCCATGCAGATCTCCTCTAGAGCAGTGATGTTTTGGGGCTGTCGCTGGGCAACACGGACTTTCAACTCCCTCCAAAGGTTTTCTATGGGGTTGAGATCTGGAGACTGGCTAGGCCACTCCAGGACCTTGAAATGCTTCTTACGAAGCCACTCCTTCGTTGCCCGGGCGGTATGTTTGGGATCATTGTCATGTTGGAAGACCCAGCCATGTTTCATCTTCAATGCCCTTGCTGATGGAAGGAGGTTTGCACTCAAAATCTCCTGATACATGGCCTCATTCATTCTGTCCTGTACATGGATCAGTAGTCCTGGTCCCTTTGCGGAGAAACAGCCCCAAAGCATGATGTTGCCACCCCTATGCTTCACAGTAGGTATGGTGTTCTTTGGATGCAACTCAGCATTCTCTCTCCTCCAAACACGACGAGTTGTGTTTCTACCAAACAGTTCTATTTTGGTTTCATCTGACCATATGACATTCTCCCAATCCTCTTCTGGATCATCCAAATGCTCTCTAGCAAACTTCAGACGGGCCCGGACATGTACTGGCTTAAGCAGGGGGACACGTCTGGCACTGCAGGATCTGAGTCCCTGGCAGCGTAGTGTGTTACTGATGGTAGCCTTTGTTACGTTGGTCCCAGCTCTCTGCAGGTCATTCACTAGGTCCCCCCTTGTGATCCTGGGATTTTTGCTCACCGTTCTTGTGATCATTTTGACCCCACAGGGTGAGATCTTGCGTGGAGCCCCAGATCGAGGGAGATGATCAGTGGTCTTGTATGTCTTCCATTTTTTTTTATTATTGCTCCCACAGTTGATTTGTTCACACCAAGCTGCTTGCCTATTGCAGATTCAGTCTTCCCAGCCCGGTGCAGGTCTACAATTTTGTTTCGGGTGTCCTTCGACAGCTCTTTGCTCTTCACCATAGTGGAGTTTGGAGTGTGACTGTTTGAGGATGTGGACAGGTGTCTTTTATACTGATAACAAGTTCAAACAGGTGCCATTGATACAGGTAATGAGTGCAGGACAGAGGAGCCTCTTAACCATTAGCCGCCCGGCCAATGGCCGTTTGGCGGCTTCAAAAGTGCTGCGGCATTCCGAGTGCACGCCATTTAGCGTGCACCCGCACATGCGCAGTTTGCGCTAATGCAGAGCCTCGCAGCGGCGCGATCTGTCACCGGCCGTGTACCTCGGACACGGCCGATGACAGATCTGAGTACCGGCCCCCGTTGCTGGTACCATGTGACCTGCTGTGACCAATCACAGCAGGTCACATGACAGTTGTATACAATGGATGGCTTCATTCATGCCATCCATTGTATACTACTGCCTAGCTGTAAATGGTCACAGCTAATCACATGCACATGTCATTTGGGTACAATGTTGTATGACCGTGCAATTGTCATTCAAAGTGTGAGAGCGCTGAAACGTGAAAAATGGCCTGGGCAGGAAGGTGTAAAACTGCACGGTATTGAAATGGTTAAAGAAGGTGGTACAGGTCT